TGTATGTATGTATGTATGTCTGTATGTATCTACCTCTCTATGTCTGTGTCTGGATCTCCCTACACATTTACCTCTGACCTCTGCCTACATGGATGTATCTGTGGGAATAGTTCTCAGCTGAGTGTCATTTCCCACCTAGAGGACCTGTGACCCTACCTGGGGTCACTCTGCTCATCACATTGAGGGACGAGGTACTATTGTTATCTGTCATGCTGGAGAGTTCATAGTGTGTCAATGATCAGAGCCTCTCCTTCCCATGCAGGGGGACCCAGGTTCGATTCCCAGACAAGGAATCACCTATCAGACAGTGGAGGCTGAGCTGTGGGACTGGTTTCAGCCAAGTTTCTAGATTGTGAGACACTCTAAAGAGAGGGCCGGGGGTCTACTTGTGTCGCCCAGCCCAGGAGGACCTCATGGGCCAGCACACAACATGGCCTGATGCAGACCTCGAAGCTACACCACCATGAATTTAAACACCAGCAGGTGCACCTATGAGGGGCAGGTACCTGGTATCCTACTTTAAAAAAAGACACCCCAATAAACCCAGCCACTGAGAACAGCAGGGACAAAGTGAGTGGTTGTGGGTTAGGACCAAGGATGTGGGGCTGTCTCTCTCAGTCTCTCAATCCCTCAGGCTGGTTTTCTGTGGGATCCCTCACTCATTTCTCTGGTCACCTGAAGCACAGACCCCCTCCTTCCCCAACACACACACACACACACACACACACATCCTTTCACTGGGGCTCACCTGTAGATGGCCGTGAAGAGCTGTTCTGACGGCACACCAAATGCCCTCTTGTACTGATTCTTCCCCTCCCTGGAAAGAAAGAGACAGCGTCCACTCGACACCATGTCATCCTCCAAGACACACGATCAGGACACATAAACACAGCAACAATGATGTCCAAACCACTGCCAGGGAGATTCTGACTCCCAGTGACCCTGGAAGACAGAGCAGAGCTGCCCCATGGGGTCTCCGAGGTCATGAATCTTTTCAGAAGCAGACAGCCTCAGCTTTCTCCCTTGGAGCAGCTGGTGGGTTCAAACCCCTGACCTTGTGGTTATAGCTGAGTGCGTCCCCCCTGTGCCAGCAGGGCTCCTGAGAGTCTAGATACATAGTATCTCTTTAGTAGCCTCTCCTGAGAGTCTAGATACATAGTATCTCTCTAGTAGCCTCTGTGTGTCACTGTGCACACACACAGCTTGGAGGGAAGGCAGGTCTCTCCTAGAGTGGACCAGGCATGAGATACAGTGTCACCAGCTGGGATTCATTTGTGTCTGACTCCCATTGAGCCACTACACTTTTGGCCATATCCCCCAGGCCGAGGATGAAGCCGTAGACGCAGCCAAGCCATGTCCTCACCTCACGGCAGCAGCCAGGTGGCCCCAGCACAGGTAGGTGGTCCTGGACAGGTACAGCAGCATGTGGAGCTGGCACGTGGGGCTGGTCCTGACCAGGAAAGTGGTGGAGAGATCTGTGTTCTGGTAGACAGCTGGAGATAGACACCGAGGTGCCAAGAAAGAGTCACAGCCCATGTCAGATACGTGGGGTAGTTAGACAGGTAGCTAGGGAGATGATGGACGGAGGATGGATGAGTGGATGGATGGATGGAAAGATAGATATAGATAGATTAGATAGATAGATAGATAGATAGATAGATAGATAGATAGATAGAGAGAGAGAGATAGATGATAGATAAATAGATAGAAAGAAAGATGATGATAGATGAGATAGATAGATTATAGATAGATAGATATGATAGATAGATGATTGATAGATAGATGATAAAATGCAGAGAGAGGTGGACATATGGATGGATGGATGGATAGATGAGTAGAAGGATGATAAAATATATACATAGATAGGTAAATAGATGAACAGATGGACAGAAGGATACATGGATGATTCAATACATTCACAGATAGGCAGATGGTCAGAGGGATAGATGGATGGAAGCAGATAGATGGATGGATGATAAAATAGATAATAAAATAGATTGATGATAGATAAATGGATGGATGTGGACAGACTGATCAATGATTAGATAGATGGATAGATAGATAATGGATGGATGGATGATAAAATACAAAAATGGATGGATGGATGGATGATTATTTATATGAGATAGGAAAGATAGATGATAGATAGATAGATAGATGATAGATAGATAGATAGATAGATAGATAGATAGATAGCCTGGATGATGAATACATTCCTGGATAGATAGATCGATCTATAGATTAATTAGGTAGGTAACTAGATTGCATAAGCATACAGGTAGGTAGATGGTTTTTGTTGTCATTGTGTGTAATCTCCCTCTTCCAGGGCTGGAGCTCTGAAGGGGAGCTGATTACTGCAGCTCAACCTGATGGAATCGAATCACCAATCTATCAGATTAGCCACGAATCACCTGCCTCATGCAGCTACCAGGCCTTGTGAACTAACGGCCTTTAAAAAAATAAAAATAAAAATAAAAGCAACAACGTGCCTCTTGTCCTATGAGTTCGCCCTGTCAGAGAAACGGGCATTTCAATACAAAGGTCAGAAGCTCATATGCTCACAGGATGGACAAGCCTTGAATAAAGTCCATGACCCCCCTAGTTAAGCCCTTGGCTGTTCAGGAGAAGGTCCATGGTTCAGATCCAGTCAGCAGCTTCCCAGGAGAAATGCCTGGTGCTCCTTCCCTGTGAAGGAAATCCCAAGGGCTGTTTGACCTGGTCAGATGGTCTTGCTGGGAGTAGGGACAGATAGAATGACACAGAACCAAAAAATTGAGATCGAAATAGCACTCCACTTCCTGTCCACTCCCAGTGACCCCACAGGACAGAGCAGAGCTGCCCCAAAGAGTTTCCAAGGCTGTGAATCTCTACAGAAGCGGACAGCCTCAACTTTCTCCCTCAGGGCAGCTGGTGGGTTCAAACCCCTGACCTTGTGGTTACAACTGAGTGTGTGTCCCCTGTGCCAGCAGGGCTCCTGAGAGTCTAGATACATAGTATCTCTCTAGTAGCCTTTGTGTATCACTGTGCACACACACAGTGTGGAGGGAAGGCAGGTCTCTCCTAGAGTGGACCAGGCGTGAGATACAGTGTCACCAGCTGGGATTCATTTGTGTCTGACCCCCAGCAACCTTGTATCACAGAGCAGAGCTGCCCCATGGGGTCTCCGGGGCTGTGAATCTTTTCAGAAGCTGATGGCTCCGACAGGCACATCTAACCCTCTGCTTGTGTTTACAAATAAAGTTTTACACACTGGTTAATGTGATGTTAATAATGACTGCTTTCCAGAGATTGGGGTGGAGACTGGGTTGTTGCCAGGGAGATGAATTGGCCTTCCATGCAGAACGCTCTGCCGCCTGGCCACTGCGTGACCAAGTTTGACGGGGCTGGGGGTGTCCACCTTCAAAAGACCTCTTCAAATACAAAGCATCCCTCACCTCTGTTTCTCTTTGTCTCCACGGTCAGCAATTCCAGGGACGCGCACACATCCAGTAGCAGCTCCGTGCCATGGAGGCTGGTGCCCAGACGTGTGGCCAGCTCAGCCGTGTCCAGGGGCTCCGGGGCCTGGGCCAGCAGGTCAAACACGCCAAGCTCACAGGCAGCAAAGAGGACCTTGGAACAGTGGGCAAATAAAGTTACAGACCTCTTTAGCATGTGGCCTGGCTCAGAGATGTCTCTAGGGCTCTGGGGTCCAGTTTAGAGATGCCCAGCATCCGGCTTGGGGGCCTCCTTCTAAAACAGCTCATGGTCTTCCTGTCTCTGACCCTCCACCTTCCCCAGCAGGATGTCCTCCACCAAGAAATAGCCTCTCCTAACCAAATGCCTAAAGTATATGAGTCGAAGCTTCACCGTCCGTGTCTGTAATCAACACTCTGAATGCACCTTCTCCAAAACATCCGTGTCTGTTTTCTTTGCAGTCCATGGTATTCAGTTATGTCCAACACCACAGCTCCATCAATTCTACGTCTGCCCCTCCTTCTTCATTGTCCAGCTCTCAGAGGCCAGGCAAATGATGGAGAAGGCCATGGCTGGAGTCAGGTGCACCTTAGTCTTCAAAGTGACATCATTGCTCCGAATTAAGGATTTTGGAGAGGTCCCTGACAGCAGACGTTTCCAGATGCAAATTGACTTTTCATTTCTTGACTGCTAGTACTGTGCAAGTGCTGGTGGCCTAGTGGTAAGAAGCTATGCTGCAATCCCAAAGGTACACGGTTCAAATCTACCAGCTGCTCTGTGGGAGACAGACAACCTCTTCCCATGTAATCCCATGTAATTTACAGCCTCTTAAAACCTGCTGGAGGGTCTGTTTTGGGTCGGCTTTGACTTGCTGGCACACAACAACAACCACTACCATAAAT